TGGCGTTAGAACTGCTCGCTATAGCGCTGGGATTAGCTACCTTTAGTGAACTGCTGGCGGACCGCCGAGTGGTGATTTGGTCCGACAATGTGGGCGCAGAAGGGGCAGTGCGGAGCGGTCGCGCTTCCGCTTGGGACCACTCCCGCATCATTCACGCCATGTGGTTCCTCATCGCACGCACCCGGTGTTCGCCGTGGTTTGCGCGGGTCCCATCAGCAGAGAACATCGCCGACCTTCCGTCGCGGGAGGAGTACGAGTTGCTACGTGTTCTTGGGGCGAACTTCGTGACGCCGCGCTTACGCGCGGCTGAGTTCTTCGCACCGGAGACGTTTCTGGCCCGCGCTCTGCCGGCGGGAGCGCGCCGTCGCGCGTCGTCGCGCCCCGCGAGCGCCGTTGCGCATCGAAGGCGGCACGAAGCAACGAAGGCGAGTGAGCCGCTGTCCCGCGTCGAGCCCGTTGCGAGCCATGCCTCGCGCGTGCCTTGCGAGGGCGGCCCGCGCGAGTTGATGCCAAAAGCCGACAGTGGAAGCTGCGTCGTTAACCGGCCCCATCGATGGGCCCCTGGTCGGTTGTCCTATGCGTCAGCGCGCGGTCCCAGCGCAGCCAGCGACGGGCGCTCAGTCGAGCGATAAGCCATGACGTTGTTTCATGAGGTCCGCGGCGTCCTGCCAGAGCTTTCACCCATGGTTACCTTTGCGTTGATCGAGTTGCTGCGGCGCCAGGACATAACGCATCTCAGAGATCTGCAGCTAGCGCGCGTCGATTGGTTCGAACCGGTGTCTGCCGCAGAAGGGGAACGAGGCGTCAGCCCTGACGCCCTGCGCGTAGCGCTGTCAGAGTTAATTAACGAAGCGAAGAAGCCATCTGCCGTCGTGCGCGGCGCAAAGGACGAACCTCCGCCTGCACCCGACGTGCATCAGCGCGAGTGCCGCAGCCGCAGTCGCCCTGCCAGGCGGCGAGCTGCCAAGTGCGATGAGCTTTCGGCGGCTTGCGGTGCTGTGCGGGACCTTGAGCTGGCCGTCAGCATAGCGCGCCAGTGCACCATCGAGCCGCGCGCGGGCCCCCGCCGTGAAGTCGAGGCCCTGCGGCAGGGCCTCGCCCAGCGAAGCTTCAGCGAATGGTCGAATTCGGCTCGGGTCGCCGCGATTCTGGGCAGCTGCCCGAAAACGTGGCCCAGCGTAGTCAGCGCCTTCCGCTGCTGGGCGACTTTCGCCATGACCGTGCTCGGCTGCGACGCGGGGGAAGTGATTCCGCCGTCGCCCGAGGGCCTTGCATTGTGGAGCACATGCTTCCGTTGTAAAGGAACATTCGACAACTATATTTCGCACGTCAGATTAGTCTGCATCCTGTTGCGCGTCCCGCTGGACGCGCTGAGCGACCCGGCAGTCGAGCGCGCGGCTCGCGCGGTGCAAGCGCGAAACACTTGGCAGGCCAGGCCCAAGATGTTTATTCGGGAGGCGCTCCTCGCCAGATTACTGAAGCATCTCGAACGCCACCAATCGGGGCGCGAGCTGCAGATGCTTTTCTTGACGGCGTACATATTCCTGTTGCGATTGCCGTCGGAAGCACTGCCGATGCACGTCGCTCGGGACGGCGATCCGCCGCGGGCGGTCGAGCCGAAGAGCTGCCTACGCCTGCATGACGGCTCGATCTCGCTGACGTTGCTTTGGCGCAAGAATCGCGCCACGCCGCTCACGATGACGCGCACGTGCTGGTGCGCGCGCTGTCCATCAACGTGCCCCGTGCACGCGCTGGGGAAATTCTGCGCCGACAGCGCGGCCCAGCAGCCTTTTGCGGGTTTCCGCCCGGACGCTGTCCTATCGGCGTTGAGAGCGGCCCTGCAAGAGCTCGGGGTGCCGCGGCACGATGCCTATCGCACCCACGATTTTCGTCGGGGCCACGCCCAAGACATGGCGGTGCGTGGCTCGCGGCTGGCCGACATCCTTCGCGCCGGAGATTGGCGGTCCGCCGCCTTCCTGTCATATTTAGACAGGGATGCGCTTGAGGACAGCGCCGTCAGGGAAGCGCACGGCGGCGCTTCGTCCAGCGACGAAGACAAGGACTGAGGTGGCTGTGAGCCTATAGAACACCTTCGGCGAGAACAGCGTTGGGTTTTCCTCGCGCGCAGGTGCAGCAAGGGCCTTGGGTGTCGCTGCACCCGCGCGCTCCCGCGGGGAGCGGCGAGCGACGAGTGCGCCGCTCGCCCCCCCCCGCGGGCGCGTGCCTACCCAACGCGCAGCGCTCCCCGCGCTCTCCCCCAACCCTCGGGTTTTCCAGGGTAGCGTCTTTTGTGGGCGAGAACACAACGCAGTTTTGTTCGTTGTCACAAAAACGCGGACCTGGGAACCTTCTACCCCTGCCGCCCCGCCGCTGGCGCCGCGGTTCGCCGCGGTGCCTGTGGTGGGGCGGGTTGGGTCGGTTGGGGGGTGCGTTTGGGGTGGCTCGCCTCAGGTCTTCATGGACTTCGTGTTCCTCGTCTTGTTCGTGTTCTTTGTCCACGTCTCCCTGCGGTGGGGGGAGGGTAAATATACCCCCGCGTCGCGCGCGCTGCCCCGAGGGCGCTTGTCGGCCGAACGCGAGGCTGGCGCCCTCGGTGCGCGCGTCGCGGGCCGCCGTGGCGGCTTTTGTTTCCCCTCACCCTTCGCCGCTCCTTTGGTTGGGGTGGGGCGCGGGGTGTCGCTGCACCCGCGCGCTCCCGCGGGGAGCGGCGAGCGACGAGTGCGCCGCTCGCCCCCCCCCGCGGGCGCGTGCCTACCCAACGCGCAGCGCTCCCCGCGCTCTCCCCCAACCCTCGGGTTTTCCAGGGTAGCGTCTTTTGTGGTTGTTGAAATCCCGTGCTGCGAAACCATGTGGTTTCATGTGTGTTCTGGACACTCGATTTCGAAATCTGATTTTGAAATCTTTACGGAACCGAAGTTTTTGAACGATTCCGGAATGCGCGCGCGACGACCTGCGCGAGCGCACTTCGCTCCATTTTCCGCAAGGGATTCTTGAAAACGGCTGATTTTTTATCAACGACTGCGTCCTCGGCACCACTGCCGCCCCGGTGCGCTGCCCGTGTCCAGCTCGCGCTGGACCTGCCACCCCCGCCGCCCAGCTCGGCCGCCTCCTGGCTGCCGCACCCCCCTCCCCTCCGGGCTGCCCCGCGGCCGATGTTTTCCCGCCGCCCCGGCGCCCCCCCCCGCCGTGGCTTGGCCCTGCTCTGAGCGGGCCCGGCTTGTCCTCCCTCCCGCCCGCGCCTGGCCTCCCCTTCCTCCCCACGTGCATTGCGGCCGAATTCGCATATGTATGCCCTACATATTCTGTTTCTGTCAGCGCAGTCATTATGCCCAGCCGCCGACGCAAAACATATGTATGTATGTATGTATGTGTACATGTAAACACGTGTGTATATATGTATATGTATATATATATATATATATATATGTATTTATTATTATATATATGTATGTATATATACACACACGTTCATGCATGTGTGAAGATCTGGCTAATGGGTCCTGGGTCCCCGGCCCAGCAGCCCCGAACCTCCATGGGGATCTCGGGGTTCTTCTGGGGTAGCCCAGGACCTGTCTCCCTGAGTTCAAGGGCCCCCAGACGGTCCAAAACCATTCCATCACGGCCGCGGGGTTTCAGGACGGCCCAAGATTCAAGCTAGCCCCAGGGTTTCCCAGCGGTCCGTCGAGATGGATCCCAATCGCCCCACTCTTTCAGAAAATGCTTCATGTTATCGACGTCCGCTGTTTGGATCTTACCAGCGTTCAGGACGACCCAAAAAGCCCCCAAGGTCGCCCAAAGACGTCCCAAACGGCCCAATAGGTCCCCAAGACGGTCCACGACCCCCCCCCCCGCGAAATCCGAATAGCGCATCAGGACGGCCAAGGGGGGGCATCAAGTCGGGCCAAGAGGCCACCATGAGCGTCACGACTTTGCAGGCGACGCCGGTAGCAATGCTATTATCCTAAACGTTGCTGCCCGCTGGCCAGACTAGCTACGAGGCCGGTCTGCAAGACATAACCAGCCTTGCAGGGAGTTTTGGACTGTCCGTGGCCTCCGTCGGCCTGAGATCTGCCCAGACATGATTTTACAGGCAACGTTCTGCCATTCACATGCGTAGATGTGACTTCGAGTTGTATAACACATGTTTGAGCCGCCAGCTCCGGGACCTCCATCCCGCCCCCAGACTTCCAATATATTTGCATCGGCGTCCTGACAACGTTCGCAAGGAGTACTCTCTCGTTCTCAATGGCAACAGCGGCGAACAGGAGGACGAGGACGAGGACGAGGTTGAAGAGGAGGGGGAGGAGGGGACGCCCATCGGGGCGACAGAAAGAGGCTCAAGAGCACTCCCAAACATGAGGTATAAAAAGAGGAGGGGGTGAGGAGGAGGAGGAGGAGGAGGAGGAGGAGGCCCAGGATGAGGAGGACGAGGAGGTGAGGAGGAGGAGGAGGAGGAGGCGGAGACAGACAAGGAGAATGAGCACAAACCTGAGGATAAGGAGGCAGAGGGTCAGGAGGAGGAGGAGGAGGATGAGGCTTTCCTCTTCTGCCCTCTGAGAATTTGTCGTCGCAAATCATGTTGCATGAGCAGCTGTGTTGCTGTCGAGGGCCAGGGCGCTGAGCGCGAGCGCAGTGTGTGCGTGGTTCTACCATGCGGATTTCTCTCTGGCGGCGCTCCGCGCGCCAGGGAGCCGTGTCCAGCGCCGATCCAAGAAATCCGTGCGGACCTCTGAGAGTTGATATATGTATCTATCTATATATATATATATGTATAGATATGTACATATATATATATATATGTATGTGTGTATATGCAGTTCTTTCTTTTTTGCGCTCTTTTTGTTTCCTCTCTCTCTCGTGATCCCCACCACTAACCAAGTGGCTAACGAGAAGGTTGCCCAAGAGATTCTCCGGGAACGCCCTCGCCAGCAGCTGCCCATGGACGGGCACTGCGGCGGATCTTTGGTCTTCATGTTCACGCATTTGTTTGTTCCTCACAGGACCTCGACCGACGCCGAGCTCCGGAGGAGCGGCGTCGCTCCCGCGGTGTTCACCACCTCGGCCCGCGATTACCAGAAGCTCCGCGGGCTGCTCGACACGGGCATAGACGGCCACGCGAAGGTCTGGAACGGCGTTCGCACATACGAATAATAAGGTATAGGTGCAGATCACAATGTTAACTTCGCATGTGTGTTTGCTATTGTGCTGTGTTATGTATTGTTATGTGTATACATATATATTTATTTATTTGTTTATTTATTATATATATATGTATATAAGTGTATATCTCTCCATATACACATACGTAGCACCCCGCAATTGCGGATAAGAGTGAGGGGGCGGGCGCGGGCGATGCGGGCGTCGAGCCGGCGGACCTCGTGGCCCTCACCCTCCCTGTCGATGGCGCCCTCCTCCTCCTCCTCCTGCTCCTGCTTTTCCTCTTCCTTGTCCGCGTCCTCATCGTCGTCGTCGTCGTCGTCGTCCGCCTCCTCCTCCTCCTCCTCCTCCTCCACCTCCTCCTCCTCCTCTTCCTCCTTTTCGTCGTCCTCCTCCTCCTCCTCCTCCTCCTCCTCCTCCTCCTCCTCCTCTTCCTCCCGCATCCTGATCCTCCCCCCTCATCCTTTCCGTCGTCGTCGTCCTCCTCCCCCTCTTCCTCCCTCCTTTCTCGTTGCCCCCCTCCGTCCCCCCTCCTTTTCCTCCTCGCCCTCGTCGTCGGCCTCCTCTTCGTCCTCGTACTCGTCGTCGTCGTCGTCGTCGTCGTCGTCTTCCTCCTCCTGCTCCTCGCCCTGCTCCTCCTCCCCTCCTCCGCGGCAGCAGGCAACTGGATTGTCAATGAACGTGTTCAGACACAGCCCCGCCGCAGGCGCCGATGCGCTGTTGTAGAGTCAACGTGGGCCGGGTCGGGGGAATGGCACGACGGCGCTTTCCCAAACCAATGCGAGAAAGCCCGCCGCAAGCGCCGATTTGTGTGCTTTGCCAAGTTCAGTGCGGGGGGGATTTCTGGTGGGCCACCCGGAACGAATGCAAAAACAGCCCGCCGCAGGCGCCGAAGTTTTGGCTTGTTCAGTGAACGTAGTTTGGGTCGCGGGTGGGTCGCGGGCTCTCCACCTCCACCTGGGAGGAAATCGAAAACAGCCCGCCGCAGGCGCCGAAAATTTTGCTTTGTACACTGAACGCGGTTTGGGTCGCAGGTTCTCCACGTAAAAGAAGCCCGCCGCAGGCGCCGAAGTTTTGCCTTGTTCAGTGGACGTAGTTTGGGTCGCGGGTGGGTCGCGGGCTCTCCACCTCCACCTGGAAGGAATTGTTGACGCTTCGCGTATCCCCACCAGCCCATCCAGAAACGATGCTCAGGGGAGTTGAGGTGATCAGGGAAGTCGGGGAGCATGCAGAATAACAAAGGGCGGGGGAAGCTGTCACAGACCCCGAGAGGGGGAGGATGGAAGAGGAGTCGTCGTCGTCGTCGTCGTCGTCGAGGAGGAGGAGGAGGAGGAGGAGGGGGAAGAGGAGGAGGAGGAGGAGGAGGAGGAGGACGGAGAAGGAGGAAGAATCGGAGGAGGAGGAGGAGGAGGGGAAGGAGCTTCTTGGGGGTCTTTTGAGGGCCTCTTGGAGGGCTTTTTGGGCGCCTTGGGGCATCTTGGGCGCCTCTTGGGACCCTCTTGAGGCGCTCTGGGGAGCCTTCGGGGCGCTTTTGGGGCCATCTTGGAGGGAGTCGATCAAACAAGAGGGGGGGTTTAATTAGCGTCCCCCCTCGGAAGCCCCTAAAATCGCCTCTTGGACCCCTCTTGGAACGCTCTTGGAGTGCTCTTGGGCGCTCTTGGGGCCGTCTTGGGGCTCTTTTGGGGCTCTCTTGGGGCCCTCTTGGGCCATCTTGGAGCCATCTCCAGGCCTCGGATGGCCATCGGAAGCGAAAAGGCGAGAAAGCAAAAATCATTGATTTTCCTTAGGTTTTGGGACGATTTTGGCCTCTTCGGGGCCTCCTTGGGGAGCTGTTTGGCCACTTGGAGTTATCTTGGGGCCGTCTTTGGGCTTCTTGGAACCATCTTAGGAGCCATCGTGAGCGATCTTGCGCTATCTTGAGCCATCTTGGAGCTCATCTTGGGTTCTCTGAGGCGCTCTTGGAGCCGTCTTGGGCCATCTTGGACGCTCTAACTACCCGCGGCCCCCCCCGTCCAGGTCCAGGGGAGGGGGTAGGGGGAGGGGTAAACCCCTCCCCAAGGGGGAAGAGGGAGGGGTGGAAGAGGATCTGCTCTAGACCACCTACGCCCAGAGGGCTGGTGGGATTCAAAAACAGCCCGCCGCAGGCGCCGAACATTTTGATTCGTACACTGAACGCGGTTTGGGTCGCGGTTTGGGTCGCCGGTCCTCCACCTGGAACGAATGCAAAAGAAGCCCGCCGCAGGCGCCGAAGTTTTGGCTTGTTCACTGAACGTAGTTTGGGTCGCGGGTGGGTCGCGGGTTCTCCGCCTCCACTTGGAAGGGATTCAAAAACAGCCCGCCGCAGGCGCCGAACATTTTTGATTTGTGCACTGAACGCGGTTTGGGTCGCGGGTGGGTCGCAGGTTCTCCACGTAGAACGAATGCGAAACAAACCCGCCGCAGGCGCCGAAAATTTTGAGTGGGTCGCGGGGTGAGTCGCGGGTGGGACGCGGGTGGGTCGCACTGGGTCGCGGGTGGGTCGCGGGCGCGGTTTGGGTCGCGGGTGGGTCGCAGGTCTCTACCTGGAACGACTGCAAAAAAACCCGCCGCAGGCGCCAAAATTTGGGGTGGGTCGCGGGGTGGGTCGCGGGGTCGCGGGTGGGTCGGGGGGTCGCGGGTGGGTCGCGGGTGGGTCGCGGGTGGGTCGCGAGTGGATCGCGGTGGGTCGCGGTGGGTCGCGGGTGGGTCGCGGGTGGGGCGCGGGTGGGTCGCGGGTGGGTCGCGGGTGGGTCGCGGGGTGGGTCGCGGGGTGGGTCGCGGTGTGGTTCGCGGGGTGGGTCGCGGGCGGGTCGCGGGATGGGTCGCGGGGTGGGTCGCGGGTGGGTCGGGGGTGGGTCGCGGGGTGGGTCGCGGTGTGGGTCGCGGTTTGGGTCGCGGGTGGGTCGCGGGTGGGTCGCGGGGTGGGTCGTGGGTGGGTCGCGGGGCGGGTCGCGGGTGGGACGGCGACAACAACAAACAACAACACTAACAACAACAACAACAACAACAACAACAACAACAAAAACAAAAACAACAATAACAACAACAAGAACAACAACAAGAACAATAACAACAACATCATCAACAACAACAACACCAACAACAACAACCACAACAACAACAACAACAAACTTAAGACGGTTCGCCCTTATATGCTCCAGTGTCCAATGACGCGTATTGCCCAAACCCTCGATACCCGCCCCGTTCGTCTTCGATCGGACCCCTTTTGGGGGGTATACATTTCTTCCCTGCAGGCCGGGCCGGCAAGCGGCGGGGCGGCCGCGGACCGTCGGCCTGGCCAGCGGCAGCGCTGATCGGCGGGGCGGCCGCGGACCGTCGACCCGACCCCAAGAGGGACGGAAAGGGGACCGACCACGACGACGACGACGACGTCGAAGACGACGGCGACGACGACGACGGCGACGACGAGCGAAAGCGAGAGCGAGAGAGAACGACAGCAGGGCCACGAAGGGCACGAAGTAGGCCACGAAGGGCGACAGCGGGGACACGAAGGGAATGCGTTTGGGGCCACGAAGAGCGCGAACGAGCGGGGGCCACGAAGTGCAGATAATGCGGGGCCATAGAAGGCAACTGTGGGGCCACTGAGGGTAGCAACTGGGCCACGTAGGACAGTGAGGGGGACACAAATGGCGACAGCGGAGCCACGAAGGGCATGCACATGGGGCGCGGCGCTTGGGCGAATTGCAAGAAATTCCAACACAAGGTCATTCTTCAGTAAGTTGCAAGCAAGTCTCCAGCGACAGCGCGACCCCAGAGCGCTGGGAAAACGATTCCTGAATAAATTGTAAGAAAGTCCCAAGCGAGAGCGCGATTCCTGAATACAATGCGAGGAAGTCTCGGGCGGGAGCGGGGGTCCTGGTTAAATTGTAAGGAAGTCTCAGGCGGGAACCGTTCTTGTTGCAACCCGGGGGCCAGGGGCCCAGTTTGAGCAGGAAGATTTTCCCTGTCAAAAACCGGGTGCGAGCGTTGAGGGGCACACTTTGATTGAGAAAAAACAGTATGCACCGGTGGGGGGATCAACCATAATAACAACAACACCAACAACAACAATAATCCGCATCGCGGAGTTCCAGTTCAGCCACGCACCCAAGGACAGTGAATGACCGTTCGGTTCAGTCCCCTCACTCTGATACATATATATATATATGTATGTATGTATGTATGTATGTATGTATGTATGTATGTATGTATGTATGTATGTATGTATGTATGTATGTATGTATGTATGTATGTATGTATGTATGTGTGGGGGTGTGTTTGCATGTGTACATATATGTATATCAACGCAGGTCTGGGGCGACGTGCAGGACACGGAGATACCTGCGCTCCGCCTGTGGCTCCACGCGCAGGGCCAGAAGGCCGCCCTGTCGGCCCTCATATCGGCGAAAGAGAAGGTGCAGGCTCTGTGCGAGAAGCTGCAGGACGTTGGCAACGCCTCGCTCGAGGAAGGGCTCTTGGGCAGATGGGCGGAGCAGGCCCGCTGCAAAGTCCAGGAATGCATCGACGGGGCAATCGAGCAGCACCACGGGGCCATGCAGAGCCGCTTCGGCCAGGGCCTCATGCAGCGCATCAGGCACGGGCACAGTCAGTCCGCCGAGGTGGCAGCGCAGACTATGGCGCCCAAGTGCCGCCCAAGCGGCCAGGGCGGCATGCACCACGGCACTTTCAAGGCGACCGCGCGTCGCAAAGGCGAATGGAAGGAGGACTGGAACGAGATGTTGGCCGACCCGCTCAACCGCGCCATCGTAGTGGAGTGGGATGCCACCCTCAATCACAGGCTGCCTGATCACGTCGACGAGATGCTTGGGCAGATCCGCTCGGACATGTGGCGCCTACAGCGGGACCTCAGCCTGCCCTCCCAGCCGTTCAAGGATGCCGTCGAAGTGCTCGACTCCGGAGGCACGGCGGTTAAGAGCAGCCTCAGGAGGAGGCAGATGGAACTCTCCCGCCAGATCAAGGAGAATATCCAGTTGCGCTGCCGCGCGTATCCGCCGCAATTGCGCAGCAAGTCTGCAGCGCAGCACCAGATTGCAGTCACATGGCGCTCGACTGCCTCTTGCTGGGCAGCGCCGGAACATGCAAAGCGATTTTGAGGGCATGTGAATGGCTCTTGTGCCGTTTGGAGAATGTCTCGGGTCCGCCAAGGTTCTTGCGTCGGACGTGGCCTGTTTCTGTTTGAGGCTTGCTCGGGACAGGTAAATCTCGGTGGTCTTCAGGGCCCCTCCCTCCTGGGAGCCTCAGGGGCGGTCCGGGGACTCTAAAGGGAGCTGGGGCAAAAGGCGAGAGATAACGAGCGTTTGCCCGCGGCCGTTTGTACTCAAGCGGCCGGCCGCCAAGATATGAGTGCGCGTCATCGCGAGGCACGCGACTTGCCATGTATATTGAAAACGAATTCGCTTGACATGGCCCGTCGCTCCCGCGACGATGCCCTATTTTTGAGACTAGTCGCCACTACGGTACAACAGAGTTGGATATGGGCTTCGCCTTCGGCGAAGCTGCTGGTTGGGCCTCCCAACCCCTGTCAAACTTGGTAGCGGAGCTGGCCTATGGTGGTCAGCTCCTGCTCCACTCCTCACCATCCACGGCATTATCTTGTGGACTACTGACATGGTGGCACATCAGGGCGCAGTGGGTTTGCGCGGAGGAATGTCTATAACTACGCACAACCGCAAGGACACCTGCAATCTCACCTCCGCTCCCGCGTAGGACTCTAACATGAGTCCTACTTTCTCGCGCGACTACACTCCTGAAGTCCACCCTCCCACTCCAATTTGAGACTGTTTTGAAGACGCGATACATTGCAACATGCGATGCGACATTGCGCCGCCTCCACCCCCACGCAGGCTAGCGACAACACACCACAACCCCCAGCCACGAATGCCCGACCACGACCTACGCGGCCACTGGATTGGTATTGCCAGATTTGGCCTTCAATGGGTCGCTATCGGGTGCGCCGTGGGACACATGCAGCGCGGTGGAAACGACGCAAGAATAACCGGCCCCCACTGGGACTTTGCCAGCGCGAAGTCGTTCGAGAGGTACACGCCTGGATCAACGTGGCCACAGGCAACGTGACACCCTTTCCCAAAGCGCGGTCTGGAAGGCTTCGCACGGACCATAGCCATAAGAGTACCCCCCTCAGTCATCAATTTTGGCGTTAACATTGGTGGCCGCCACACCGATGGCGTCACCTACATCATGTTCCTCCGCAGCACGAAGTTTGGAAATTTAGAGGAGGAGCGCCAACTCAACTCGGGAACGGCTCTCATCGACCTTCGCGTCCATGCGGGAGAACGGATCGACCAGACGTTAACGCTTGAGATAGCCCGCTACGAGGCTAAGACCGCAGGCTTCAACATCCCCAACTCCAAATCCGAGCAGTCATCCTGTTCAGGGCTCCAGGAGTGGGGGCGTCGCGTGCACAACAATTCCTACAGCCACTCAACCACCAAATGCCGAGGAACCAACAACAAGTTGATGCCCTATTGGAACGCACGAGGTCATATGCCCACATCGCCGAGCGAACCCCCGGCAACATTGGTAATATCTCTAGTCGCGGTCGCCGTGCCGAAAACTTTCATTCTGAGACCAACGCGTGGCAACCTGCTACAAATGTCTAGAGTGATGATCCACAATCAACGGAGGCCGCCACCTTATTAGCCCAACATGGCGGCCCGCCTACGGGGTCGCAAGACTCCTGGGCTAGATATCAGGGACCGCGGGCAACGGCGGCCCCTGCACAAGCCACTGCCCTTGCAGGCCCAGCGGGGCAACCCGCCGAGTCTGACTTCGACTCTGGGGCCGACGCCGATGCGTCATCAGATGGCGAAGTTGCTGCCCTAGACTCCGGCATGCCTACGTATCTAACAAAATAACAATAGGCACAATGGCTATTTCTAGGATATCAGGAACACAACCCCCGTTTGAGACGTTTCATGAAGAAACCAGTTCGTAAGGTACGACGCGCTATCCGACGGGCGCTCAGAGTGAAGGGTAAGGGTCGAGGCAAAGGTAAGGGCAAACGACGGCAACTGCATGGTAGAGGTATGTTGGCATCACTGGCATCCCTTACTCATTGCGAAGAACGATTCCTGGGGGCCGGCAGAGGCCGCGGGCACACCTCAGGAAAGGGTAAGGGACGTCGGGGAATCCCGAAAGATGCCAAAAGCAAAACCATGGAATGTGACATCTGCAATAGCACGCAACATTTCCGTCGTGAATGCCCCCCGGGCGATGGGGGAGGCAGGGGTCCGTCAATGCATTGGGCTCAAACCGACTCGGACAAACAGCGTGTCGATTGAGAGACGCTACTAGCCGACCCGCAGACACCGCCCACTGCCGCTGCCCATTTCACGGCCGCCAGGCATCTTAGAGCCAGCGTGTCCCTCGAGAGATGTGCTGACGAGCTCTTCGAGGAGATTTATGTTGGCCATGATGGGGTGAACCTGGCGGACTGGTTGGGCGCGCCCATCGCGGGGCAACCTGCGCGGATCGAGTTCGTCGAGGACTTCCACGTGCCCGCCGAGGTAGACCACGACAGGGCGCCCGCGGATTCTGATGCCACTATCCCAGCGACAGAGGAGGAGATGCCCCTGATGCTCCATCCGCAGGTCATTGGCCGTCCGATAGACAGAGAGTTATACGACGATGACCCTCCGCGGGGAAACCGGCGAAATGCTGGCGAACTTTCCGAGCGCATCCAATGCGAGCTCGGGCGCAACGAAGACCATCGCTTCACGTTCGCGGTGCATGACAGGTCCACGAGCCGCGCATCATGGGGGCGGATGATTCGCACAGGCGGCAACGAAGACGACTGGGGAGTTGAGAGCCATCGCCCGCAGCGTCACGGTTGGAGTCATTCGCGCGGGCATCCGCGCGCTCGCTCCAGCGGCGCGCAGCGCCCACGCCCTCCTGACACGGGTTCCAAGGGCTCCACCGAGAAGGGGGCGCTCGCGGGAAACCCGCCTCAGATCGAGGATCGCCCAGCTGAGCCAGGAGAACGAGGCGCGCAGCGCCTCGTCAGCGATGAAGATCTTGGGCTGGCTCGCCAGCATGCCCCGCCGAGCGCCATGCAGTACTGGGCCGAGGCTGGGCCGAGCACGACATCCGCCGTCGGCATCCACTCCATAATGTCACGCGGAATGAACGCGGCAAAATCTTCCGCGCCAGCGGAGTTGCGGCGCCAAGACGAGCCCCGCGCTTGTGAGAAGGGGCTTCAGGAGGGCCATTCTTAGGGGCCGGGAAGCCTACCGGCCCCTTGTCTGCCTTTGCGAACATTTTGCTGACAACAGACCCGCGCGTCCGATGGGGCGACCGTCAAGGAGCCCTTTCGGTTGAGAAAACACCGAGGCGCTGGTCTCATGGAGATGGTCTGGGCCGCAGGGCGGATCCGACCAATCATTCCCCTGCAGCGTGCTTGACCAAAGATGATTGCCAGCCGATCACCGAGATCGAGGCTGCACGGATCGAACGAATGCGGCAGAAATTCGGCAGAATGACGAGAATATCATGGAGGGGCAGCTGAGACATGCGGGGCAACCTGCTTCCTCTTCTCACAGCCTTCAGAGGGTGATGAAGGGGCTGGCAATCTTCTGGGCCCTGCCGAAGCAGTGGGTCCAGCCCTCGCTGCCATTTCCAAGTGGGAGTATACCTACGAGACCGACAGCGGCAACAAGACGGATATAGTAGTGGACATCTCCAAGTGGATAATAGCAGACATGGATATTGCCCCAGGTTCGACAGTCAGTCACAATTGCAGAGGCGCAGGCTGGATAACTACCGCTGCGCGCAGAAGAGCCGACGCTGAACAATGCGATTCGGGATGCCAAACTAGGGCCAATATCAAGAACACGGCAGTTCACCAGCCAAAAGACCCGCTTCCGCAAGACGAGCCAGCAGCCAGCGACGCGGGGGAACCTGCGGCGCCATCTCCCGCGGGGGCACCCGCAGATGAACCGCCGAGGGGCCCGAAGCACCCTAAGGGGAAATCGGGGAAGGACGTTGACCTATCCCCAGCGCCGAGCACACCGAGGTCACCTGCAGCCGCTCAGGCCAAGCACAAGGAAAGGACCGGTTCAGTTGACGCTGATCCTGGAAGCAACATGCCCCACATATCTGCGGGGGAGCCCGCATGCAGACCGCATTCCAGCGGTGCGGCAGCGGCCGTTGCAGCAGCGGCGTCCCGAGGCGACGGCGCGCCCATGCCGAGGGGCCCTGTATTCCTGCGCGGCCCAACGCCTGGCCCTGTCCATAGGGGGCCAGGCTGGGCGCCGTCATTGGATGGTTCATCCACGCGAGCCTCCTCGTCAAAGGGCGGCGCGGATGCTATGATGTTGCAGACTACCTCGAAGGCGCAGGGAGCGGCCCCCGCAATCGTCGCAGTTCGATACCGAGACATTCGCGAGAAAGTATAGGCATCTGGGAGCGCTCGCTCATCGGCAGCCCCCGCAGCGCCTGAGCCCGCGAGGACACCTGCTGAACCCGCCGCTGCTCCTGCGGGGCAACCCGCCGCTACGCTTGAATTGGCTGAAGGAAGCAGGCGATTCTGGGAGAACTTGGGCACCGTTAGCCAGATGAAGATCAGCCCAGCTTGCAGGCCCTTTGCTTCTGACGGGTCTGAACACTACAGAGTGGTACAATGTAAAAACGACTGTGCTGCCGCACCTGCTGAAGATCATTCTCTAGCACGTCAGCGTGTCCGCAATGTTTTGCGGAAGGAACCTGCCTTCAGCTACGAGTCCGAGGGGGGGTCCGTAGTGCAGGTGCTGCGGAATGAGTACCTCAGCGCGACGCTAATGGGCGAATCTGACAAACGCCGCTGCCCGGAATGGCTCACTACAGCCACGCGGCACAAGCCAGTCCACCACGAAGCGCTCTCCGACCGGTTCATCAGATGTGCCACCTGATATGACGAGTACGACGGCCGGGTAGACCTTGGAGACTTGCTGGACAATTGGCCGCCGGAAAATT